TCGCGGCTTAACGTTGGGAGAGAGCTCTACATCTGTTGTGATGGGGAGAAGGATCCAAGGAAAAGCGAATATGTTTATTGATGTATTGTAAGTTCCATGTCATCCGGAAGGAAGGTTGGTGGCCAGATACTGTGGGAGGTAATCTAATTGCGGGTTGTTAAGTACGTGTAGGGACACCTCGATAGATCTAAGATCCCTTCCTTCTCTTATGGTCAGGATATACAAAGAGTTGCAGTAGGTGTGAGTGAGATGTGTAAACGTTTTTGCTTCATTGCCGGATGCAGTTAGCTGATACTCAGTCAGGGTCTCTCTCTCTCTCTCTCTCTCGCTTCAGTCTCATTCACGTGGTAGTTTGGATAGCCATTCACGGCTTTGGCTTAGTAGTTCTAGACATCTAGGTGGATGATGGGATATTCTGCTACGAAGAGGAGAGACAATGAATCAAAAGACATAGCATCGTTACAGAGTCGTATTGGGATAACCACCGATCATCGTATATAATACATAGCATGCGAATCGCCCGGCTTGGCTATGCACTGCCCGCGATAGAGAGAACCCATGCCAAAAGACGTGAAATGAACAGAACAATAGGAAGAATAGAAGAAGTAAAATAATAACATAGAACCATCAGCACCCAATGTGGTGCGGGAGTAGAGAGATTTCTGCAAACGGCCCGCTCATCCAAAACATCAACTCTTTGCAGGGATATATAGAGCCAAATAATACCTCTATTAAGACAGGCATAGTACAAGGAAATAAACCCAAGATCGTTTTTTTTAAAGCTCGGCCAGCGGCCATGCATAGGAAACTGGAAGGTAGGAGAAAAATATGAGACAATTCATCTCGCTTAGGCCGAAGACTTCTTCGATCCACGGAGCTTGGGGTTGCTGGCAGCAGCACGCTTCTTCTGCTTGGCCTTGGAAGAACCAGCATCACCGCCCTCGATGAACTTCAGCAGCTCATCGACGCTGCGGGAGTCCAGGGAGGCGCTGCCGGGAGCCCTGGCTCCAGCGGCTTCCGGGGCAGTCTGGCCAACCTGAGGCTGGATCTTGGTGCCGAGAGAGCGAGGGTTCATGTTGACCCGGCGCAGACGGCGAGCCTGGATGTCCTTGGCATGCTTGGCAATTGAGACCGCGTTCTGAGTGAGCTGCTCCAGCCAGGTCTCGGCTTCCTTGGTGTTGCGGTCGTTGGGACCCAATTGGCTAAGGAAGATGTTGTAAGCATCACGCATCTTGCCAACGGCACCCTTCGAGTCCTGGTCAAGAGCCAGCGCCTGGGCCAGCTGGAACAGGATAGTCGCGGTGTTGATGGACTGGCGGCCAAAGAGAGACTCGCACACTTCCAGCGAGGCCTCGAACCACTTGCGAGAGTCCGAGTACTGCTTAAGGTGCTGCAGCATCACCGCGGCGTTGTTCATGGTGGTGATGGAATCGGGGTGGTTGGCGCCGTAGATGATCTTCCAGAGGTCCATGGCGTGCTTGATGTAAGCCAACGCAGTCTTGGTGTTTCCAGAAGCGTGCTCGAAAAGACTGAGGTTGAGGTAGCTCAGAATGGTGTCAGCCGAGTCCACACCCAGAGTACGCTCAGTGACGATGACAGCCTTGCGAGCCAACTCGACGGCCGCTTCCTTCTCGTCGGTCTGGTAGTACAGCATGGACAGCTGGTGGTAGAGCTTGGCGACCTCAGGGTGGAGGATGCCGTAGATCTGCTCGTGCAGAGACAGAGACTCCAAGATGAGCTCCTGGCCCAACTGCTTCTGGTTCTGCATAAGAGAGATGCGACCGGCCTCCAGGGCCTCCTCGGCAAGGGAGCTCCTGGGGGAGGCGTCCTTGACCAAGGGCACAATGTTGAGGATGTCATCAGGGACAATGGCAAGGATGGGCTTCTCCTCCTTGGCGGCGCGGGCGGGAGAGCTGGAATCGCCACCCTTCTTCTTCTTCTTGTTCTTGCCCTCCTCCTGAGCAGCACCGTTGGCACCGTTAGTGACAGGAGCCTTGGCAGGGATCTGCGACTTGTCGAAGATGAATTCCCGGGCACCAAGCTGCAGACCGAGCTTGATCGACAGGTCACGGAGAAGCTGCAAGTGTCTAAGAGAGTTGAACCACTCGGCTTCCAGGGTGAAGCGGTACCGGATGGACACCTGCTTCTCAATCTCAGCCCGGAGAGTGGCAGGGGTGGCCTTCTCGAAGGAGAAGTCGCCTTCCGGGTAGATGGAGCGCAGAGAAGCGTCGATCTCGGCGACAGGGTTGGGGTTGACGTCAGCACCCAGAAGGCAGTTGAGCAAGTGAGAAATGCAGGAGGCGACGAACGGCGCCGGCACGTTACGAAGGTATTCGTTGGCAATGTGCTTGAAGGCACGAGCAATCATCTCCTGAACAAGGAGAGTAGATAGAGCATCGAGGCGAGAACCCTTCTCCTTGGACAGCTGAGCCAGCTTACCAAGGTAGCGGATGTTAATACCGCGCTTGTGCAGAAGCTGGCTGAGAGACTGTCCGTCCATGGGGAAGCCGACATCACCGTCGTGCAGGTCCTGGATCAACTCGGGCATGATCTTAGAGCGCAGGTAGTCGCAGGTCTCGCGAACCTCCTTCTCGTCCTGGGCCCACTGTTCCTTCTCTTCGTCGGTCTGGGGAACCTGACCGCTGCAGACGTCAGGGTTCAGCGCGAGCGAGAATCCGGAAATGTCAACACGCTCCTGGTCAGCAGCCTCCTCGCTCTTCTCTTCTTCGGAGGCCTGCTCCTTGGATTCGGTAGCCTCGGAGGATTCAGCCTTGGCAGCGTCCGCCTCAGCCTTGGCGCTGCGGCGACGCTCGACTTCAGCCTTCACGTACTGGCTCATCTTGTGTCTCCAGTAAGATTCAACAAGCTCCAGTCTCAGGACCGACATGCGGTGCGGGTAGGCATCGCTACCTTCTTCCTCCTGCCACATGACATCCAGGGGAGTCACACGGTAGAGGTCAAGGACGTACTTGCGGCCATCAGTACCCAGAAGACCCTTGGTTTCCACGCTACCCTCGAGCTCGTGGCGCTGGCCCTCCTTGTCCCACACGGCGTGCTTCTTGACGCGAAGAGCCTTAGACATCTTCTCGAAGACAGACACGAAGTCGGGGTGAGTAGCCACGACATCCTTTCCTTCAACACCACCATAGTCGATCTGGTGCTCACCGGGCTCACGCTGCTTGAAGATACCGGGGACAATGCTCTGACCGACGATACGCTTGCCAAGGTAGTCAACGACCACAGTTCCCGGGGTGAAGAGACCGTCGATGTCGAGCTGGTTGACAGCCTTGATGCCCACAACATCCTTACCGACAGCGACACGGGCAGCCTCATCACCTCCCTCGGAGGCAAAGGTGCCAACACCGTCCGCACCGAAGGAGTAGAAGATGTTGTTGTACACGAAAATCTGAGCATCGCGGCTCTCAGTGGGGTTCAGAGGAGCGACCTCACCACGAGCCACCAGAACGGCACCGCGAGCGGCGGCCTCGTTGTAGTCAGCGAACAGCTTGGAGGTCAAGCGCTCACGGAAGACACGGTCCTGAACAGTCTCGCGAGGCAGCTCCCGGGTGGTCTGGAACTCCTCATTCCAGTCACGGAGGGTCTCCGCGTTGTCAACTCCGGAGATGAGGTAGTTCTCCTGGGAACGGGTGATGTCCGGCTGGTGAGCGTTGGCGGTCGAGGTGGGAGGGGGAACAAGCCACGGGTTGTTAGGGATGGCGTTCTGGAAGGGGAAGGTGGTCAGGAGATCCTTCTTGTTATTCGACTCCTGGAGGGCTTCGAAAGAGGCGTTGAAGGAAGGCGACAGGTGAGCGATCAAGGTGAGCAGCGAGTGCGCGCGACCACTCTTGGGGATAGTCTTAGGGGAAGGATCGAACTTCATGTTCGAGTTCTTGTTCACGTAGAAGCCGGAGATGTGAGAGGTGATTTGGAACTGCTCACCCTCGTTGGTGGTGACCTGCAGGTAGAGCAAGTGGCCCTTCTGGCGGAGGTGGTAAGGAACGGGGTTCCACGGGGAGAGAGAGATGGCCTTGACGGTCTTGGGAAGGGGGGCTTCGGCGCGGGGGAGGATGGTCTTGAAAGAGGGGGAGCTAGTAATGTCGTACTTGGACAGGGAGTGCTCCTTCTCCGACGCTTCAGCCACCTCGGCGGAGATGGCATCGTGCAGCGACAGACCAGCGCTGATACCGTGGAGGTTGTCCACCCGGTCACCAGCAGCGCCAACCAGCTCTCTCATGCGAACAACGTGCATACGAGCTTCCTTCTCGTTGTAGGGATCCTCCACCAGGGTGATCTCGGAGTCAGCCTTCAGGTCGGGCACCTCGGACAGCTCAACGAAGTCATTGATGCGCTGGCCGTTGAATTCGAGGTGGAAGCAGGTGTACTGGAAGGTGCTGGGCAGCTCGACGATCGATTGGCGCACATCTTGAACTTGTTCTTGGCTCGACACCTAAGCATACGCGTTAGAGGGTTTTTGAATCATTCCTCTAGTCGCATGACACCTGTAGACATAATACCCACCATCACCTGGATCTTGTAGGGCTCATGGGGGAGCTTGACGGTGATCTGGAAGAGGCCTGTAAACGATGACTCATGGTCAGTAACAGGTACGCGATATTGACCCTTGAAGCGACAAGAAAGACATACCACCGGTGTTATCCTCTTCCTGAGTCTCCTCGGGGTGGTTACCATTGGTGAGCTGTTCGGGAGTCTCTGTGGGCAGGAGGTTAGTTTTATCGAACATATGGGATCGGTGAGTGACAGCCGGGACAAGAGAGCGAACCTTTCGAGTGCTCCAGTTCGCCATTGGTCTGGGCCATTATGACGGACTAATTGGTAGTAGATCGAAGGGAGAAATAGATGATAGAATAGATAGGTAGCACTTGATTAGACAGAGCTACCTGATGACGGCAAATGTAAAGCGGGTGGCGGTGGAAGTAGTAGAAGGATGTTGAAAAGGAAGAGAAATAAAAGGACGGAGGGTAAAACAGAAGCAAAATGGTATGATACAAGGACAAGGGCAATTGAATCGAATACAACCCGACCCCGTACCCAGGACAAGAAAAAGGGAACCCAAAAAAAGACCCGATTAAGAAAGAATTGGTAGGATGGAGGGAAAAGGTTGAAGCTGGAGAAGAGCACACGGGGAAGCCGGGCAAAGAGAAAATTTCGCGGATGCGGAATACCCTCGGAAGTGCTCGGGCGGTGGGAGAGCCAAAACCGGCACCAAAAACTAAATTGGTGGATTTGGTGGTTTCTCCACATCAGTTGGGACGATGCCCCGGCGACCAGATAAGGTGTGGATATTATAGTAGTCAAAGTAGTCCGGGTAAGTCTGCATCATCGTGAAGTTAAGTAACGAGTTATTTGAATCCCAAACATAAAGTTTGGTTTTGCGGAGAAGATTGATTGATTGTATGTAGATGGTAAATAGACCATGGCTCTCGCAGGCAGAATTGAACAGTGAGATCATTGCCCGTAACCTTACTTTGTGCGACCTCGGACAGACCTGTCACTAATACTACTTGTAGTATGCACAGGACTTCATTGATTAAAAAGCATATTGAGACTGAGATTTCAATTTCATTGATATACCCACCACTACATATTACTGAGCAAGTCTGTTAGTCCGGTAAAGGCATTAGGGTTGAAAAGGTCGCAGTTATGGCTGGAGGTTTCCTCCCCTATCACGAACCAGGCAGTACGTTGACGATGATCCTTTCACCACTACCATTGTTCATGCAAAAAAATTGACCGCATCAGTTGTCAACGTTCTCATCCTAATCTCCTTTTTCTTCTTCCTCTCCCTAGCGGAATGGATCTCTTCAAAAATCATCCGCGCCGGCATCATTGGCCAGATCGCCGTCGGTATTATTTACGGAACGCCACTGGCGAACATCCTGCATGAAGATTGGCAATCCACTTTCCTTGCACTAGGTTATATCGGCTTGATACTGATCATCTTTGAAGGCGGGCTAGGAGCTCGCCTTGACCTCCTAAAGAAGAATCTTTTTCTGAGTATGATTGGCGCTGCAACAGGGGTTCTTTTTCCGATCGGACTTTCGTACCTGCTCCTCTACTTGGGATTCGGTTATGGTGAGTAACTTTACATTATGCTTGATTGGGACAACAAAGGTGACACATCCCGACAGGTGCTGTTGAAACCTTCATCGTGGGAGCATCTTTGTCTGCTACCTCTCTTGGCACGACCTTTGCTGTTATCTCAACTGCCTCGAGCACGGTCGATCTCGCCCAAACTCGCGTCGGATCGATCCTCGTAAGCGCAGCTGTCATTGACGATGTTGTTGGCCTGGTAATGCTAAGGTAGATAAGCTACTTGCCCTAAAGCCCCAGATCATCCACAGTGTTCAAACTCACGTAAAACAGCGTCATCAGTGATCTAGGCTATTTAAGTCAAGGTCACTCTGTCAATCTGGGCTGGCTAATTGGCCGCCCAATCGTAGCCTCCATCGGAATGGCTATTGTAACCCCCCTGGTAACAAAGTATCTCTTCGCGCCACTGTTCCGCCGCTACATCGAGTATCATTTCGCTCGGTTCGACCACATCTCCAACATCATTCTGATGATCTTGGTCCTCTGCGCATTTATCAGTATTGCCGCGTATACGGGGACTTCCATCCTCTTCGGTGCATTTCTGGCTGGTACATTCTTGACTTATATCCCTAGTAAACATCCAGATGGACCGTTTGTGGTTATGAGCCGCGAGGAAGGCGAAAGGGAGGAGAACAAGAGTCCGACGTTTGTGCACACCTTCGAGCGCTATCTTTTAGATGTGCAAAAGTATCTTATGGAGCCGCTTTTCTTTTCGAGTGTTGGATTCGCCATCCCCTTTGTGCAGCTCTGGACCGGGAAGAGGATCTGGAGAGGTATCGTCTTTACCCTTCTTATGCTGTTTGCAAAGGTATCAGTTCCCGTTCTCTCGCTAAGCTTGGTTCTGAGGTGACAACTAAAACAATGACCAGCTCATCGTCGGAATCTGGGTCCCTCTCTGGCAATTACTTTCCAGTTCCAATCTCCTGAACAGAAAGACGGCGAAAGAGTTTCCTAGCGAAGAGTACCCCAGCGAAGAGTACCCCAGCGAAGACAGCAAAAACCCAGTCTGGTCCACAATCTGCCTCTCTGGCCTACTTCTCGGCTCGGCAATGGTTGCCCGCGGCGAGATCGGCCTCCTCGTTGTCGAGGTCGGGTACAATGAGACTTCGTACGTGAGCGAGGATGCCTTTATAACCGCCGTCTGGGCGATTCTGCTTAACACGGTCCTTGGCCCTGTAACTGTGGGGCTGCTGGTGAAATTTCATGGAAAGAAGATAGAGAAGGGAGCATGGGGCCTTCAGTGGGCTGTTCCTGCTGGCGGTGGCGGTAGTGGTGATTCAAGCATCGATTCCTCAGTTGGGTGATATGCTAGGCACCATACTATTTCAACACTCCAGAGGGCCACTCTGGTCCGGCTCAGAGCCTTTTTTCCCACGAATAATCAACCTTCAGTTAACCGCTTACTTGCAAAATAGTCGACTACAGGTATCATCCAGCTCTAGTCTCTAAGCGCAGGAGATGAATATTCACTGCAGGACAAATCGGATGAGTGTGGTCCGAGTTGAATCAACATCGACTCTAGAACTAGTAATCATGTCAAGACATGCTTATTATGCTGTAAATATTCGCAATCTTTGAGGCAGCATCGAAAGGCTATTGTCTGGCACAAAGCACGCGTCAAGCCTAAAATGCCACCAAACCATACTATCTTCCTGCAGGGATATTATTCCCGAACGCCCACATTATTTATATCCCACTTTTCTTCATTTGGCAATTCCTGTTTCAGTGTAGAGCTGAGTCATGTGAGCTCGTAGCAGTCGGGGCACTATAGTCACATAGATCTAAGGAAAATTCTGACCATCGGGCGTGCATGACTATATTATCTGATGATGATTAGGTGCCTAGTGTTCGACATACATGGACATGATGATAGAGCAGAGGTGACGGAGTTGAGTTTGGAATAGACGGGGTTAGAGGAAAATTCGATGTTTGGGTGGCCCTTGCCATGCTGTGTAAAGTAGGGTGCAGTTGGTATAAAGAATGCCGAGACATCTCATCGTAAGAAATAACAATGAAACAAAATAATGATATCAGTAGTATCAGTAGCTGTTATAGCAAGATTATCTTGATATCCCCTCTGTGCGCCCCTCCCCCTCTCTGGAGCTCCTTTCAGCCTTTTGCTTGCTGCAGGAGGATTTCGTCGCTGGACACCAATAGCAATATGTCTACGGGGACCTTTATATACTTGTGTCTGGTTGATGGATAACGTTAAGGGCAAGCTTCATTGGTGATATAGACTATCAATTTGATATAAAGGTTCATTAAAAAACTGGGGCGTGGCAACTTCAAAGATGAATAACAGCAGATTATTCAGATAGCTCCGACAATGAATCTTGAGGCAAATCTTCCTATTCTCGTAAACAAAAAGCATTTCAAGGGTGCACGATATCGCAAAGTATAACCTGACAACACAGCTAAACAGGTAGATCAACTAGAAGCGGACATCTTTGTCCTCGGGGTCAGACTCAAATTTGTCAGATGAGCGGTCAGTTCTCACTGTTTCCATCAAAACCTCAGCTTTACAAATTAACCAGGAGGTAGGCTCCTCCTCCAGTTCCTCGAGTCGTAGAGGCCGATGGCTGAATGGTACGTATTGGATTGGAGTATCGTACCGGCACACTCCCGGCCGAACCACGAGGATCACCCGGCCGCGTGGCTTGGGGACGTACAGTGGAGGATCCTCTTGCTCCTCGGATTGAAACTTTGCCGAGAACATGAGCCCCGTAGAAGTATCAAATTGCTTCAACTCAGGAAGCTGATGGACGGACCTTCACCTGTCCACCCAGCATAACCTCGTGGTTGGTAAGGGCTCGTGCAATGTCCTGAAATAATTTCACCAGGCGCTCACGGCGCGCCGTCTCTTCTTCTGCACCAGTCAACTCACGCAGGAGCAGCTGGAACAAACTGTCTGCCAGAAGTTGATCCGCCAGGTCTTTTGCCATGCTTGCCTGCCGCTTGCGGCTCCTGTCTCCAAATTCTTAAGGTGTTTTGTCCCGAGAGGACTTGGCCATATCGTCTTCTTTCAGGTTGGCAAGACTGAGTGTGACCGACTTCCACCATACAGCATTGGCCGGGCTTGCTAAGAAGACCAGGGATGACAGTCCCGCCTGTTAGACAAAAAGGAACCCTTTCATGTAATTGGAAACGAGCTGGATTACTCACATTCGTAGTATCTTTCATACAGATACTGGATTCGTTCGGAGAACGACAAGTCTCCAGTCTTGTCAGATCCATCACGTTTCCCATCTAGGAACCTGAACGGCTTCTCGAGCAAATGAGTGAATATCGTTTGGTAAATCATTGCTTCGGCCAGACATGAGTGAAATACAGCACGATATGAGGGAGAGAGGAGGGACTGAATCTTAGTCCAAGATTCTTGGATACAGTATTTATCAAGTCTTCGAATGATCATCTGTTTCTGTACTCTGGAAAGGGATGGTGTATCCACACAAACAAATGCATCAGTCCAGAAGTGGACTTCATCTTGGATGTTGCGATAATCTATTATGACTGCATTCGTATCGGGGTAGTATCCCACTTGACTGAGTTTCATGCGATGACAATGGCTTCGATATTTATCAAAGTCCTCAGCTGTCAGGTGCACCGAGGGCCTTCTGGACGGTCGGGTATCGGACAGTGACTTGCCCTTCGGGGATTCAGTAGGAGAAGGCTCAAGCGGCTCATTGGGACTCTCTGGAAGAGGATCCTGTGGCTTCTATGTGGAGATCAGCCATGTCAGTGGAAGTCCGGGGATTGCCAGGGTTGGGGGGTAGATGCAGGATGATAGGCTGGAGGTAAGAATGGGGCTAGCAACCTTTAGCTTCTTTGTGTTGCGGCGTCGTTTACCCGCCATGATCCTCAGAGTGTCGAAGATGCAGGATGGGTGTGGGCGTGATGATGGGAAGAGAGGCGACGGAGGAAGGACAGAGGAGGAGGAAAGAGGATGTATCACTCTGGGCATCAAAGTCCAATCCCGTGACATTGTCTTGTCTCTCAAGCCAGCAAACGCCACAATAATAGCAGCAGCAGCAGCAGCAGCAGCAAAGAAACCTTCTCCTACCCCACCTAGTCACAACTTCTTTATCTCACGACCATACCAAAACTAGGATCTCTTTATTGTGGAACCGTACCAAAGGCTACGATCTCATTGTCTCGTAGCCGTACCGTTCCTGCATTCGACATCTATCTTCCCAAATTTCTCTCATTTCAGAAGCATGGGAGGGCCCAGATTGGTTATTAATATCGAATTTGGGGCGAGTAAAACAGGTAAAACTCATGCCCTCCAGATGCTTCCTTCTCCCGCATGTGTTCATCACTCACGTCCCATTTTGAATAGTCGTCGGCTATCATGTCACCACAAATGGGTGGAATGGGCTTCCTGCGTTCTTAAAAATACACGATACCCATATAATTCCAACGGCGATCGCGTACACCCCATGTGGCTTGTCATGCTGTATTGGAACGGATGCCCAACGCCGAGAGAACTGTATTTATTGGATAAAACATATATTCGACGATGCTCGCATATTGCGAGACTCTGATGACGAGCTTCTCAAGGAGCTCGTCAAGTCGACATGGCCGCAGCTACCTGACAGGCAACGCGAGGATCCATCCCTCGTCGTGTCTGACTTCCTGGGAAAGATATTAGGACATCTCCAGAGTGCCTTGAAAGATGACCCCACACTCAACGAATTGCCAAAACATTTCATATTCACCACGCCATCTACTTGGTCGAGTTTTGCGCATATGAAGATGAAACAGGCTGTATATTCAGCAGGGTTTACAAGCCCTCAAGACGCAATGGTCTCTTTTACTTCAGAGGCCGAGGCGGTCGCCGTATACGCCGCCAGTGAAGGGGGATTCAACATGGGGCAGCTTTGTGAAGTGAGTTTCTAACTACAGGCAAAGGCCTTTCCAAATCGTCTGAATTAATCTGATGACCGAGGTTTTTCAAACAGACAGGTGATGGAGTTATGGTGGTCGATTGTGGTGGCAGCACCGTCGTATGAGTTTTCTTGATAACAAGGGAGTCTCTTTCTTATACTGATAGCAGGATTAGGACATAACTACATTTTTGGTCGATCAGAAAACCCCTTTTGGATATCAAAGATTGATGGCATTCACTAGTGAGTAAGGCCTAATGAGGTCATGTTTTCAGCTAATCCTTTGTAAGGTAACGCCTGTGGGGCTGTTCAGCTCCAGTCTCTGGTATATGCTAAAGCGTTGCAGCAAAGTCGGACGTCTGGTCCGAGGACGAGAAGCAAGGCCAAGCTACTTCCGTTCGCCGTATGGGCCCGGCAAAAGTTTCCATATGGACTTGTATCAATGCCCACTAATACCGGGCTTTTGGATGCTGCCTTGCGGCTGATCTACAATAGTTTTGCCATCAAGATCATTAGCCATATTCGGCGTGAAATTGCTTGCGCTAACATCTGCGCTGGATGCAAAGTTATCAAGGTATTCTACTATCTGGTAGCTTTCGTACTGCATTAAGCGACTAATATCTCTTTCAGAAACTGCTTTTAGTGGGAGGTCTGAGTAGCTCGGCCGAGATCTCAAACGCCATTCAGTACGCATGTGGAAACGAATTCGAGATCGAATTTCACCAGCCACATTACGAGTAAGATTGCCGCCATCTTCGTAACAGTATCCTCCCGTTCTTTTTTCATTCAAAGCTTACAAGCATTTCATAGTTTTCGGAATATAGCCGTTTGTATTGGTGGCACACTGCGCGGCCTCATGGGACCGCAACTGTCCTTCAAATTTTGGAGATACTATTATCTGGTCGACGCGAACCAGCAGATAATCATGATCGTCAGCAAGGTAATGCGCGAGCCTGGTCTATCGAGGTGCTACTGATGGCTTAACCTTCTTCGCAGGGAAGCCCCTATGACAACGAGTACACCAATCGAATCAATATAACACTGCCCCGAAGCACTGACGGGGCCCTTACCATTCTTGTTGTGGAGAGTGCGCAGCAGGTAAACCTGCTCGAATCGCTCGAAGACCAAACCAAGATTGTTGGCAGAATTAACTGCGACTTGTCACAAGTGCCGGGAGACTGGCAACTTCTGAACGTCTTGGTCAAATACCGAGCCCCAGTGAGATCTGAAGGACAACATCTTCCTCCCGAGCGCCTGCTCCATCTGGCTGTGCACGAGTCGGAAAGTGAAGAAAACCGGCTAATAGGCCACACGCGAGTCCTCATGCAGAGTGGGTTGTGAAAGCAGTGCTTGGAATTTTGTTCGGCTACGGTGGGCACGATGGGTAGGGGAGAAAAGTATTGTTTGGACGCATAGAATTTAGAATGATTTGGACGGTTAGAATGTCAATTCCTGTAGGTACCGGGTTGCAAGGTGTCTTTCCTCGAGTCTCCTCTTAGAATATGTTATGTAGACCGCGCACGGAAAGATTGGATGGATGAGCGGAAGCTGTACAACTGGTAGGACCAGAACTTACTACAGCCCTCTACCACGGGTGCGTAAGAATCTAAAGAAGCAGATACATGGCCCCTATCTAGCATGACAACAACACACACCACGCTCCCTTGACTCCAAGGCCTTACCATACATCTATTTTTGAGGTCATTTCCATAGAACCCATTGTCAGGGCCTACCCTGTGCCCTCTCCAAAAAAAAAGAAAGGAAAAAAGAAAAAAACAGCTCCTGCCCAAACATGAACATACATAACCGACCATGTCTTAACAGATGTCCACAGACCCCCTCACCAAGATGGAAGAATAAGGCAACTCAAAAGAAGCCAATGAACAAGTCTCCCCAAACCTTTGAGGTAATAACCATCTGTTATCTTTCACGAAGGCCTCCCAAGTTCATCGGTCGGATTGTAAATCGTACCAAGATCTGGCAATATGGCGCGGCCGCCTGCATCGGATCCTGGACCTGGACTCCTTATTCCCCCCTCCCCCTTTCCCCGGTACTCGTGTCATATGGGTTGTTATTGCTATGTTCACCACGGAGCAATGAGAGAGAGAGAGTAGCCAGAGTGGCTTTTATTAGTACTTAGATGATGTCTGTGTTCGGTGCATTTACTGAGCATAGGGATGAAATAGCCTTGAATGGGACAAAATCTACGACACTTTGATTTTGAGATCTCAAGTGGTATTACCAAGCCTGGTAGTGTCCAGCATATAGGTTCCCCATATCTTATGATCCACGGAAGTTGGTATTTACAACCCTTCTCAAGTTGGTGAGCGAGAAATTCCCACATTGATAGATACTACACGTGCACGCATAGGCATGTCTGGCGGGCGTAGGTTGGATGGATAATGGTTGGTGCCTCGACCTCTCCCTGTCAGTCTTTATCAGGATCATGGGTAAAAAGTAAGCGCGTCTTGACATCCATTAGTTCTCTTTGAGGAGATCGGGCTGGTGTTCAAAAGATCATTGAGAATGCACATCGTCTCTGTGTAAGACAGAAGTGCCAATGGGTCAGAAGGGGGAATGTGTGATATTCAGATAAAAGTATGGGGAGAGGAAGAGAGGGGATAAAAAACAATGAAAAGAGGGTTTTCGTGGAACAAAGAATATGGAAATGGATATGATGTAGATGGGGAGGAAGGATGATGAAAAACAAAAAAAGAAGATGGGCCCGAACCGCGATTCGAACGCGGGGCCTCTCGCACCCAAAGCGAGAATCATACCTATTATTTAGTTAGACACTGAAAGCCAAGACAGACCATTGACTTGAGGGCTGCTTACCACTAGACCATCCGGGCTCGTATACGTAATCCGGTGGCAAATAGAAAACAAAGGCTAAGAGAGGAAAGATTACGAAGAAGTAAAGCCAAAAAAGAATGAAGATAGGCCCGAACCGCGATTCGAACGCGGGACCTCTCGCACCCAAAGCGAGAATCATACCTATGAATTTGTTAGACGATGAAGGTGATGGAATGTTTGATTGGATAAAGCTTACCACTAGACCATCCGGGCTCGTATGTGGGGTTCTTTTAGCTTTTTCCTTACATATAGACGGTAAAAGCTCGGTCCATGCTAGGTTTTTGTCGCTCTTGGTGTTCCACTGGCGGCGTTCAAATATATATGTTCTGGATTGCTGGAACGCTCGAAGAATACCCAGGCCAAACTAGCTCTTGGGTTCAGCCTCAGAACAATGGAGCGAGCTCCAGTGTGGGCCTGTGCCTAATCTCACGTAGCAGATCCTTCAATGCTTCTTGGAGCTTCATGCGCTCAGGAACCTCCATACTGCCAGAAATAAAATCCGGTTCATTGATGTACATCCGGCGACGATAGTCATGTCCCACCAACAACGCCAAATTCTTTTCAAAATGATGTTGGATCCCGCACAACCCCAATATATCTCTTGCCTTAGTTCGATCGAAGTTTAGGAGTGGTATTCTCTCGCCGCCAATATTTCCCTTGGAGTACAAGAGCGCCAAGCTGTAAAAGGCCAACCATGTCTTTGGATGTTGAAATCCGAGTCGTTCTGTGAATAGCCGGAGAATGTCTTCGGTGGCAAACATGGCTGGCAAGTAAATATTTCTATGATTGTATGCTGTCTCGTGCATTGCCACATTAGTATCCCACAGAATCTTCTCAATTGCCGACTTCGTTTCAGCAGCCTCTGCTGCCAAGTCGAGAATATTTAAGGAAGGTGAAATATGCTCTTCCCAACTCCAAATAAGGTGGAAGTTAAGAGCCGGACGATTGTTCTCGGACCGTACCTGTTGGAAGTCTGCACTTCCTCCCCCATCTGTCTTCCGGAGAACGGCCCTTAGCACGATCACTCTGAAACAACCATCAGCGTATCTGATGATGGATGGTTCTGAACATCCCTGCAGGAGGCATATGATATCACATGGCTTGATCGATTCCACTGTCTTTCTGATGAACCATCTTACTTTCCACATTTTCTTGGTGTCCGCACTACGCACCCCAGTCAAAAGCACTTGCAACAGGGTCTTCGTTTGATAGTCTTCCACCTTGACAATGAAACCCAGGATCCATCCGCTGCTCTGGATGCTCGCATATTCCCTACCAGGCCAGGTCTTCACTGATACCTGTTCATTCAATATAAACCAGATTAACCGTTGAAAGAGCTGCTCCCAGGACACCTGATAATTGGGTAACAGACCGGGTGCTTTATGAGCATCAGAACTCAGTCCCAGTAACGCATAGATTTTATCATGCAGAATAGAGGCCTCGTTCGTATGATGCATATCAACCAATTCAGACAGAGAGAGCTTCTTCATTGAATGTGTTTCATACTGAGGCCGAAAGATTGCTCCACGGATCAGACGTGTTGTACTCAACACACTAGGGCCAGCATACGAGCCCCATGCTTGGATGCCCGTGGCAAATGTGTAACCGCTCATTCTGACAGGACCACACTGGATCTGAATATTCCGAGCGAGGCCCACCTCTTGGAGAATCTGCCGTTTCTCGTCAGACACCACATATCGCTCCGCAAAGAGCAGGAGGGGGAGGGAGAGGACGGTGGAAACAACGTGGTAGTACTTACCCACATGCGATAAAACCACCTCCGCAGGAGCAGACTTTTGACACCCTCAATGGTGGCACTTTCTGATGGCATATGAAATCGCTCTTCAGCAAATTCTGCCTCTGCCGCGGCACGAATGGAATTTAACGCCTGAGTACTATTATCTGCCTCCTCGCCCAACCACACCACCACCTGTCTGGCCTGCTCATATATGCGCGCCATGTTTTGGATTTGTTTCTCTTTCTCTTTCATATTGTTCTGGTCGATGCAAATTGCGTCGACCCATAATGTCCGTTCAAACTCAAAGCCTCGAAGCCTAAGGAGGGCGGAGTGTAAATTCTTTCCGACTGAAAAAGCCTGATTGTTGATGGAGATGTTGCTCTGCCCGTCCGTCTGATCTCCCCATACGTATGAGAGGGCGTCGTACTCTTGGGCAATATCGTTCTGGAGAGAGTAACTGAAAAGCTGGCATTTGATCGGAGCAGCTCTGTCCTTGCTTGGGAGCAGACGAAGTATGCGAGTGCTGAAAGGACCTTGATCCAGAGGAAAATATTCAAAGTCGGGCATGGTTGAGAATAGTAGTACTTCTTCTGGGTCACTTTACGGGATGAAGGTCCTACAGCGTCGTTTATGAGCACTTTACACATGCAGAACAGCCGTCCCTAATATCCCGTGTCAACGATGCAACGGATGGAATGCCCATCGAATTCGTATGAAGCTGATGTGCCAATAATGGTGGGGATTAAAAAGCCCTTGAGATGCCGACCGTGTGGAATTAGCCAACGAGGTGCACCTTAGTGAGGGATTCTCGTGCATAGTAGTCTCCTAGTAGTAGTACTTAATACAGTAAGAGCGTCGACAACCTGTCCTTGCAAGATTGGCTGGCTGTGTCCCTGCTTATCCTGGGTTCCCCGCCATGAACAACGCATCAGTTTCCGGCCCTACCCCCTCCCCCCTCGCTACCTATCTAAAGTAGATCATGCACGCGGCCAAAGGGGAGTACCACCTACTTTGCAACTGGCTGCGGATGCCCCACTGACAGGAGCGGATAGAGGCATTAGGCGAGAGCGGGGTTGTCACTTGTATATAACATGATTGCGAATAGTGTTAAAGAATGCTAACAACAGATTGGATCCACATCCTCACTGGATCAGTTAAGGTGGCCCCGAGCAGCGTCGGTCCAAGAATTAATAGAGGAGGAATATTCCGTAGACGATCGGTGATGGTCTGGAGAAGGGTACTAATATTGACTTGCTTCACTTTACATTGGCAATTCTGCATATGCTGTCCTGGGACATCTGCACAAGATGGATGGACAGGCTATCCATAATATAAGTCTAATAGATTTCAGCCGTGAAGGTAAAATATGAATTAAGTTAGTATTTAGGCAAAGGTGGGTGACTAACTGATAATGCTCTCGTACATAGACGACGCAGGCGATGTGGCACCATATCACGTTATGTCTCAGAATCCAGGGTAGTTGACCATGGAGCAGGCTGGATTATGGTAATGGTAATAGTTGATTAGGTAGATGGGTGTTATAGACGTGTCAATCAATTCAGTACCGATGATATACTATAACTATGGGGGCATGCGATGAGCCGCGGATAATATTATGGCCGCGATAAGCATCGAGCTGCATTGAATGCAGGTCACGTGATACAGACTGGGGTATTGAAGAAATAAACAAACCAGATCAAATCACCGCAAGCCTAAATTTACGACAAACATTGCAATCTGTAGAGAAGAGTTTGTTGTTGTAGAGTACATCAACTCTAGCTGGTCCGCAAGTATTATTACATCTGCATCATATCAAATAACTAATTAGTCTCTACAGTTAGCAATAGATCTGAATAATGATCAGCCACAGGGTGGGCCCGGGATGCGAGGCGCAGCAGCGGAGTAATCCACGCCAATCCGATCTGGGCGAGTAGTACCGACTTTTTGGTAGCAGTACTGATTCGGGCCCGATTCCAACTCACCTCTTTTTCTCACCGTGCGCTGGCCTTCTTTCATTCATTTCTTCATTTGTCGCTGCTTCGCTCTTTCCCGCACCTTCTCTCTGCCCAATTCTTTGCCATTGGGAGCCTTGTTGCTGTCAGGATTCGATTCCATCTTGAAACAACGGCTCTTTCGATGTATAGATAGAGTGGTGTCTCACTTCTGTGCCGGACCCATCTCCGCCCTTTAAAAAAAGTTCCACACACTCCTTTATCAATTTCATTCGATCTCAATTTCCCATATATACATTCATCCGTTGTTTGATATTATAGGGTGATCATCTATCCCTCTCGGAATTATTATCCGATAATTAGCAGGGATATCCGATACCCAGCAGAGAAATATGTGGTATCGCAATGCTCCCCGGTCCGTGATCTCTTTCTCTCGGGCTGGCCTGCGGACACCTCCCAGGACAGCAACCACAACTACTAGTGTTACGCGCATAGTAACCCCCTTCTATCGACGGGGTTTCTCACAGGGCTCAATTCGGAGAAATACGGATTCCTCCTCTTCGGAACAAAATGCCCCCAAGGAGGGTAAAAGGCGGAGGAACGACGACTCGGACGAGGAACCCACTCTCCGGTCGACGTTGCTGAAGATGGGGGAGTCTGCGGCTACTACTCTTGCTTCGATGGCTGTTCTTGGGTAAGCTACCTTGTTCATTATCAATGATGTAACCCCATGCTAATACCTGCTAGTATGGTTGGATACGCGTACCACCGGTACTACAAGTATCTCATCCTGGAGAAAATGGAAAACGCCTTCAAACCGGGCGATCCGGCCCTCGAGCTGGCCGGTGTGGAAGACGGAAAGCACCAGTCTACCTACGAGGAGCATTGGGTGCATCGCGATGAGCAAGCCAGAATGGATAGAATCATCTCCGGTAATGCTGGAGGTCGGTATTACCTACTGGTAGGCGAAAAAGGAACTGGAAAGACGTCGATGCTTCTTGAGGCAATGCGCAAAATTGACGGCGAGGGCTGTGCCATGTTCGAAGCTCATGCTGATCTCGAGCTTTTCCGGATTCGTCTGGGAAAGGCTTTGGACTATGAGTTCCATGAAGAGTACGTCTACTGAAGCATTCTTATCCTATGTGTGCATCGGGTTGCTGACGCCACATGAACAGTTATATCGGCAGCCTCTTCAGTATCAAGGGCCCTCGGGATACTACCGCACTCCTTGATATCGAGCGCGCTTTTAACAAATTGGAAAAGGTTGCTCTTGCCAGAAGGCGCAGCAAGAAGTCGCCTTTGGTCTTGATAATCAACAGTGCCCACCTGATCCGAGATGACCACGATGGCCAGGATCTGCTTGAGGCGATCCAGCAACGGGCCGAACAGTGGGCTGCAAGTGGGCTGGTGACAACAGGTAAGTCTAATTACATATACCGTACATTTATGTGTGAGTATTGACGGAAACAGTCCTGAACAGCGACGAGTACTGGGTGTATGAGCGCCTGAAGAAGTACGCTACCAGAATGGAAGTCATCCCGGTGCGCGACCTCCCGAAAGACCGAGCAATGGAAGCTCTGAGGAAGTATCGCAAGCAGTACTTTGGCCAGGAATTAACCCACGAGGAGCTTGAGGAGGTGTACAACCTTGTCGGTGGACGGCTGTCCTACCTCAACCGTGTTGCCAAGGCCCTAGACTACAAGAAGCTCTGTGAGAGCATCTGCGAGGCCGAGAAGACGTGGTTCCTCAACAAGTGCTGGATCCTGGGACCTGAGATGGATGACGATGTGATGGACCAGCAGAAATATGCCGTAAGTGCGACCCCCTCTGTCGATGACAAAAAGCCGGCGCACTGACCGACATATAGTCTGCGGCAATGGTGCTGGCGAAAGCACTTGTGGACAAGGGAGAGGAAATGGACAAGACGTATGATCCGAAGCTGGGCCACATTCTCCCAGAGATTCCTCTCCATCAAGCGCGACAGATCATGACACGCGCGGACTTCATCCAGAGCTACGACCACGAAAACATCTTCACCATCGACTCGCGGGCCATGGTGCGTGCGGATTCGGTACCCATGCAGAATGCGTTTAAGGAGATCTGTAGCTGGCCAGGATTCGACGAGCACCTGGAAGGCACTCTTACGCGCATTGGAGACATTGAGAGCTTGGGACGTACTCGGGAGCTGACGATCAAGGACCTCTGGAACCAAGGCAAGTATCAACTGGTCATGCGGGACCACAAGGGTCGTGAGCAGGGTGCGGCAGAGTTCTCCGTTGTGGAGCCAGAACAGGAAAAGGAGGATAACTGAAGACCAGGTTTAGCCTGGTGAGCCTGTACGATTTACAGAAGATGGAGGGTCTCTGGGATACCTGATCTCGGAGGATATCCCAGAGTGTACTACTACTACATGTGCCACATGGTGGGAAAGTGGCTTGACCGACCCATGTATTTAGAGATTCGCTTCGAAGCCACTTACGACTGTCTTATAGAATACACTAACTACATCTCATCCGAGTTATTTGGGCTCTTTGGATTCTTTGGGGCATCGTCACCGGTGACATCATGGCCAGGGTTGCCTCTCACCGCCCGGCAGCTCATTCTGGCCATCGCATCATCCCAGCCTCGTCTTTATTTCGCTGCTTGTCATTTCCCTCTCCTCGCTTTCCTCCCCTCTTCTCTTACTCCCCTCTTTCTGATCCCTCCGACCCTGTCCATCACACCACCAATTTCCATCTCTCCAAACAATCCCACCCACCACCAAAGCAATGGCTCCCCGCAAGAAAGAAGTCCTCTCCGCGGTAACAGCAGCCGACGACGATACCGCCGAGAAGACGACGCGCCAACTGCGTCACAAGACGCGCCTGGACCGCATCCACCCCGCCGTGCGCTTCATCCTCGCCGTGCTCGGTAGCTTGACATTGAGCTCGACGCTCTTCTCTCTAACGACGGGGATCACCCTCGGCGAACTAGGCCGCGTCAGTAAACACCTCGAGACATGGTGGGAAGTAGGAGGTCTGATGGCCTGGAAGGCCGTCGAGGTTGGACTTGCCTGGATCATGGGCTTTGACGGTATCCCTCCATCCCGTATAACTTCATATCATGGTCAGTGAAACTAATCCAGCAAAAACCAAAGGTCGCGATGTTCTCTCCTTCACCTACCTCACCCATCTCCCCACCTTCAGCCTCCTCTCGACCTTCTACAGCCTGCGCCCAACCACAATCCTAACCAGCTACTTCATCACTCTCCTCTCCACCACCCTCCCCTTCGTCCTCCTTCGCAACCTCACTCCCCTCCACTCTTTCTCGGATTCCACGCGCATCCCTAACCGCTCCATCCTCAACGACCGCCCGACGACCATCTACACCACCATCGCCGCGGCCGCCATCTTCACCGTCACCCTCTCCCTCAGCTACGCCACGCCCTGGCTCCCCACCACCCTCGTCACCCACTTCCAAGACATCCCGGACGTCACCGCCATCCACGCCGGTCCCGCCGCTCTCCCGGGTCTATTCCTCTCCCTCCTCCCCGCTGGCTTGGCGGCGCGCGATTTCCTCTTCGCCAGCTCGACCGGTGCATCCTCCAGGAACTCCAAGAAGAACAGCAACAACAAGAACAAGGAGGGGACATCCAGCCCCGAAGGCGAGTACCTAGCCTACACCGTCTACCGCAAGACATGGGGCACCCTGTCCCGCAAGACGCAAGTGCTGGTGTCCCGCACCGTTCTGCTGGCGAGCATGTTGTTCGCGAACACAGTCGTGCAGGCCGCAGGGACAGTGAACCAGGTGGACGCCGAAGGCGCAATGGTCTGGGGTGCCGTGTGGGCCATCGCGGCGGTTATTACAGGCGCGATGTTTGGATGGATTGAGGCCGTGGATGGAGTATAGGTCCATCAGCTTCATTCATCATCAGGTTGAGAGAAAAAAATTAGTTCCTTTCATCCGATTTATGATGATGTCACTTGGTGTTATTTTCTTTCTTCCTGTTGGACTCTTTATTTTCCCCTTCTTTCCGCCCATTTCTCTCTGTTCAATGAGATGAGATGCCGTATCTCCGTGACACAGAAGCAAAAGCAACATTCTCACACCATGTGGTTTTCTTCCCCTTCTTTCCCCCCTCCCCCCGCTGTCAGCTAGTTCCGTCAGTTAGTTATTTCTCCGAAAGCCAACCAACAAACAAGCTAGCTAGCTAGTTAGCTAGTTAGCACTCTTAATTTTGTCATTTCCTGTTTGCCGTTCATTATTTGTTATTTGCTTTCGTCCAGTTACGATCCCAGCCGTGGCGTTTTGCGAAACAAGGAACGAAGAAAAAAAAAGAAAACGTGAAATTAGTCGGAACCCGGAAATTTGAGAAAAAAAATTAAGGTTTGGTCTGAGTATCAGGATCGGGGTCAGGGACAGGGACAGGGACAGGGTATCTATCTGATTCCGGGGTTAAGTGTTTCGGCGGCGTGTTTCAAGTTGGTGTGTTTCAGCGGGTGGTCTTATTTTTGAGGTTTTGTTGATGGTTGAGTTGAGGTGATTTATCTGGGGCAATGGTGTATCTTGTCTAGTCTGGTCTTTGGGGCCATGTTACGATGTTATGTTTTTAATGAATAGTTATTTTACTGCTTGGCTATGAATGTCATGATTGTCAAGTATACCTTTGGTTGAGTGGAATATAGTTGACTGATTTCCATGGTGCTGGGGCAGGGGAATCATCTAGTTCATTAAAGTTGAAAAGGAAAAGCTAATTACATAATGCCACACTCCAATCCATCTATCGATTTTTGAAACGCTGCGTTGACATACCAGAGACCAGAGGCAAAGCACGTGGACTCGCATTTATGGCGTTGAGAATAAGGTTAAAAAAGTGAAATGGGGTCAATGAATATATGTCTGGAATAGAAAATAGGAAAGGTGAGAAGCGACAAAGTTACCGCATCTCCATTCCACTAGCCACCCCGTCAGGAGAGTAGATCTCGCGGTGGAACGGCTTGACTTCGTTTTTAGGCAGCAGCCATCCTGGATGGAAGATGTTGAACACACCAACCGCTAGGACCATCATGATACCGTCCAGGACGATGAAGTACCGCTCGTGCGTGATCAAATAGCCAGACCACCCCTGCGACAGCTCGATGGTTCGATAGATACTCCGAATGTAGATGCAGATGACCGAGAAGATCATCGCGCCGAGAAGAGGGATGATCGTGCCAGTCATGGTTTGCAGGATTCGCATACGAAGAGTGCGACGGACGAAATCAGCGGCGAGGAAAACAAAGACCGTGATAGACGCGAGCTGGAAGACGATACCGGCAACCATAGTGTGTGTGCCTGGGGCAGTATCGCCGTTGACCTTGTTTACTTCCATCGACGCCATGCCACCTCCCACAGCCTGGACGACCAATGAAATGATATCGCAAGTGACGAAGATCCAGAGATAGAGTTTTGGTCTCAAAATTGAGGTCTCGGGCCCCAACAGGTGGATGAAACGGCCCAGGAGCACGTAGATCCCGGCGGTAAAGAAAGTGGGGGCTAGAGAGAGGCAATTAGTTTCTGTTTCATGAAATGGGATATGCGTGTTCCAGCTTGCGTACCGATGATCAAGGTAGAAATTTGCATGAGAAAGGCGGTTCCATTGTATGGGCATTCAGCAGACCAGGTACGTGCTGCCCAGCCCAGGATTTCCGCTGTGATGGCCGAGTTAGCGTACGGTTGAAGGGGACTCTTGTAGGAGGGGTTGACATACTGATACATCCAAGAACGAAGACAGCGCACCACCAGGTCCTCTTCCACACCAGCTGCAATGTGTGGAGCAACATCGACAGACCGAAGAGAACACAGAATACAATGCCGGCAGCTAGCGAGGGAACGTAGCCATACGATGTGCCGTAGCCATCGATCTTTGCATGACAGCCATAGGTCAATTGCTTTTTGAATTCATATTCCGCAGTAGAGTTAAGGCTCGACATATTGGCGTAAATGAAGGCCAAGGTGGTCCAGACCGAGTATGCCGAAGATTATATGGCGAGGCCAAGTGTGCCTGTGGACAGAGTAAGGAGAGAAAGCGGTTTTGAGGCAGCGAAACACGCTGCAGATAAATATACGATCAGAAAACAGGAATAAACGAGTGACACCGAACGGGCAGGCTGTGCGCTAATCGAGCCTAGAGGGGTTGAGCTATTTGCTGTTGGACATGGATATATGCGTATGAATATGCACGGGGTACCAATCGGCGAAAAGAAAAGGAAAGACGGGCATCAGGAAGGAGAGGCTCTGCCTATAAAGAAGAAAAATGGGAAGAACTGAGATAGAAATCCTTCCAAACTCTGCCCCCATACTCTATTCTCGTCCGTTCAATAGTGATCCCCGTCCTCCTGGCTGCCCGTCTCTGGGCGCCACCTGGTACGGCGGGGACACCCGTTGCAGGGAGCAATCTGATTGCACCTCACGAGAGTAGGCAGGACCAGCCTTGCAAAAGCAAGCACTTCATTCGGCTAACAGACTGGCGAGACCCAAAAAAGAGTTAGGGGACGAGATGATAGCTCGCAAGGTTCGCTCAAAGAGGTTTAGCGCGTCTCGCATGAAGCCGGTAACTCCGGCCTTTTCCATCAGACGGTTTCGCGATAGAATTGTGAACAGACACCTCCCTAAGATGATCATCCTGTTGTCGCTGTAAGGCAGCTCATCTGATAGGACCCTTGACTATCAAGGATTGTGGTTAGGACCGTTATGCCGTGTCACTGCTAAACTCAGTAGAATCAATATATGCCATGCAGCCCAGGCAGTGATGCATGGCCAAGACCGATCGGGAAACAGGAAACCCGGGAGTCCGTCCACCGGGCTTACCATAGCAGCAATAAGGAACAGCACGGAGTATAGTGGATAGTTCTGGGACGGGATCGGAGCTATGATAAGGCCCGATGTTAGGTTGCTGAACATCGAATGAAACCTGGAGCTAGGCTTCGATCAGACATGCTGGATGGGATGTGGTCGTCGTCCAGATTACCCTAGTCAACACTAGACAAGGGAGAGTTAACTTAACGGTAGTAACTCACGAAATGCAAGCGAAAGAATATTGATTGATAATCACATGCAGGGAAGAGCGGAGAACTTCCTGCACCGGCAACATCCAAATACGGAAGGCGCGTCTGGCAACCCCGCTGCCCCCGCCTCAGGCATCAATATAATACTTCACATCCCTCCTTCCCTCCCTCTCTGTGTCTCCCACACAGCCTTCAGCTACGAAGTCTCAGCCTCTCACAATTTCAAATCACTAATCACAGTCTTTGGCCTGTCACAGCAAAGGTTCAGATTTACTCACTTTTTGATGATGCGAGTCTAGTCCCGCCAGTGAGAAGTTAGATGTCAAAATCTCTACGTCCGTATGCGATGGCTACGCTATTGTTATCCCTGCCTGATCAACATGGCATCCCCGGCGGCTGCACAAAGACGGATACTTTGATATTCATTCTTTTTCAGCGCTAATAATAGGTCATGTCTTTGTCATATGCTTCACGCTTGAATCATCTCATTGACTCTACTCATTCGGACTCATTCAAACGAGGGCATATCATACGTATCATCCGGGTCTGTGCACAGTCAGTATGGGCAATATTCGACCAGTCCACGGCAGGTGAAGCTCTTACCTTTGCGGTTGGCCAGAATGTACTTGCGTGTCTCCACGATGTTGTGGTCGAATTCGCTGACCAGCTCGTGCTGCCGGATCTGAACCTTCTCATTCCGTCTGGAAGCCCCAATCACGGCTGCCTTCGCCACGTGGTATCGTGAGACGTGATTCAACAACATCATATCGAATGGCGTCGTCGTGCTTCCTTCTTCCATGTATCCTTCCACTGAAACCCGGTCCAGGCGGGGCCGCCCGAAGAGCAGACCCTTCAGCTCGCCCGGGTATCCGTGGTAGTTGAAGTGTATCGGCCGGTCCGAGCCAAACAGGCTGTCGAAGGCTTCGGTGGACAATGCATGTGGATGTAGACCTTCCTTCTCCAGAATCATCAAGTCGGTCACATTGACTACCCGCACCCGGAGTTCTGGACAACGCTTGCGGAGGATGGCCGCCGCGTAGATGACCTCGAACATCACCTCAACTCCAATGCCAACCAGCACGACATCCGGGTCCAGCCCATTGTCGGTGCTACAGAATCTCCAGATCGATGCGCCGGCTCGGCAGTGACTCTCTGCTTCCTCGGGACTCAAGTACACCGGAGTTGGCTGCTTTGAGCCCACCATGAGGTTGACGTAATTCTTGGACTTGAGACAGTGATGAAGGGTGGTCAAAAATGTGTTAGCGTCAGGGGGCAGATAGACACGCGCGGCGGTGGGCTTCAGCCTGAGCACGGCTCCGATGAAGGATGGGTTTTGGTGAGAGAACCCATTATGCTCCTGACGAGCCCATGTACTCGTTTCGATATAGTTGATGCTACTGACCGGCTTGTGCCAGGTCGTCTCTTGAGCCTGTCATGGCAGTATTTGTTAGTATCGGGCGATCTAGGAAGAAGCACTGCAGACAAATACCATTTTGTTGAACTTGGCATATTGCACCATCATGGTGTGGATGATTCCCAAGAAGCTTTCATACGATGGGAAAATGCCCACCCGGCCCGTCAACGTGTATCCCTGCATAAAGCCCTGGCACAGGTGCTCACTGAGCACTTCGATGACGCGGCCGCCTTTAGCATTCGAGAATTGATCCCACTGAAAGTTCCTTCCCGTGTGCGCAAGTGCTGCATCCAGCTTGTTGCTCTCTAGCTCATCTGGTGAGAACACTCGGACGCCGTGGGGGTTCTGGGTAAACACCTGGTCAATGAATTTTCCGATCGTCTTCATAGCGCTTTGCTGAGAGCCCTTTTCTACACCAAACTTTCGCCAATCTGGGAGATCAGGTGCTCTATAGCCCTTGTAGGATTCTGCTCGCTGCCCCAGCTTCTTGGAGTCTTCCCGAGGGATAACAGACTTGATTTCGTCAATGATATCTCCGGTCTCAGTGAAAAGTTCGTGCGGATTATACGAGGAAAGCCATTTCTGCAGAGCCTGAAGCTCCTCCTTGTCCTTCTTTGCATTTGGAAGAGGGACCTGATGCGAATGGAAAGATCCCTCTATGAACGACCCATGGAGCTCTTTAGGTCCTGACCAGCCCTTCAAGGATAATTAGCGGAGATCCAAGGTGAAGGCGGATATTATCATACCTTAGGTGTGCGCAAAACAATCATTGGCCATCTAGGCTTCATTATTGGCTTGCCGGAACGCGCCGCTTTTTGGATCTTATGGATCTCCTCAATTGCCCACATCATCGAGCCGTGGAGATCTGCATCAATGTCATCGAGGTTCTCAACAATGCGCACCTGGTATCCATAACCCGTGAAGAGGGAGACCAGCTCTTTGTTGTCCATGCAGCCATAGATGGTGCGCTCGCTGATCTTGAAGCCATTGACGTGGAGGATCGGCAGGACGGCACCTGATTCTGCAGGGTCAATGTACTTGATTGCATGCCAGGACCTGTCTGTTGTCAGATTGTGCTCGAATGGGGTATAGTTAGGTACTTACGTCGCGGTAGGACCAGTTTCTGCTTCTCCGTCACCGACCACGCAAGTGACGATCATTTCCGGATTGTCCATGACAGCACCAAATGAGACGGCCAATGCATAACCCAGCTCACCACCTTCATGGATTGCACCGGGGGTTTCCGCGTTGATATGGCTTAAAAGAAGTTAGATTGGCTTCAACTCAGATGCCCAGCCAAAGTCATACCTTGGTAAGCCAGCGCTTGTGCTGAAAGTCGAGATGAGCTCATGAAGACCATCCATATCTCGGGAGTAATTGGGGTAGAATTTTTCTAGAGAGCCCTCGAGCCACAGCGAAGCCAGAATAGCTGGAGCGCCGTGTCCAGGTCCAACGACATACAACATGTCCAGGTTATGCTTTCTGATGATATAGTTCAAATGGGAGTATATGAGGATCAACCCGGGACATGTTCCCCAGTGGCCTACAGATCTGTGAGCGGAGCTTGCAGAGGACAGCACCGGGAGATTGAAAATACTAACCAAGAAGCCTTGGCTTGATATCCTCATGCTTTAGATTCTGTTTCAGCAGCACATTGTCCTGGAGAAAGATCATTGCTTGTGTGACGGGTCAGTGAATGTAGATTGGAAACTTGGGGGCCTCGATCTCACCAGCAGCAATGTAGGCCGCTGCTCGGCGGAATTTCAGCAGGGCATTGTAGTCAGATTCCTCCAAACTCGTCTCTTGGAGTTTGACCTGCAATTGATTGACAAGGTCGGGGATATGTGAAGGCTCAGCCTTGGGATTTGGCCTATCGATGACCTCTCCAGGCATGGTGATTTGATGGATGTAAAACAAAAGGTAGTATATCCGTGGAACTAAATATTAGGGTCCGTTCGAGATCCCAGGGTCTATGGAGGAGTAGATCTAATAGCACGTGGAAACAAGAGTCTAGGCCACTTTCTGCAGCTGTCAAAGATAGTAAAAGAAAGGAATCATACCACTGCCTCGACTGCACTGCTTAAAATAAGAACAGGGAAGCGAGGTGGTGAGGTTGTTGTTGTATGGAGACCCCTGGCAATACGTCACTCGGGGAGTGACATCACCCGCCGTCGCAACCGGGAACTGAGCTGCCACCACCAACAAGCATCAACCCACAACTTCCGAGATCAAAACCCGACAAGGGTTTAGAAAGCCTATATTTGAATCTCTTTTTTCTCTAGCAGCCAGCAAGCTAACACACCGTGTCCCCGCATCCAATTGCTCCGCAACAACATGGCGCGCAAATCCATCCTCTCCGTTAATGCCGGATCCTCTTCGGTCAAGCTTACCTTCTATACCTACGAGAAGACTCCAAAGGTCATTGCTGCCGCGCAGGTTTCCGGTATCACTGCCCCACCAGCCAAGCTGAAATACACGAGTGGCGACAAGCAACACAAAGAGGAACTCAAGGAAAGCATCAGTACTCCTCAAGATGCCTTCAAATTTCTGCTTCAGCGCTGCATCTCTGATCCCGAGCTTTCCGAAGTCGCCAGCACAGATGATCTAGCCTATATCTGCCACCGTGTGGTGCACGGTGGAGACTACGACAAGTCTGTTGTAATCACCGACGAAACTTATCATCATCTCGAGAAACTGGAAGACCTCGCTCCATTGCACAATTATTCCGCGTTGGAGATTATACGGCATTGCAGGAAGGAAATTCCATCTGTCAGGAGCATCACCTTCTTTGACTCTGCGTTCCATCAAACTCTTCCTGAACATGTCAAGACCTACCCAATCGACCAGAAGACAGCCAGGTCCAACGGGCTGCGGAAATATGGCTTCCACGGCATCAGTTATTCGTTCATTCTGCGCTCTGTTGCCGAGTTTCTGAACAAACCTGCTGAAAAGACCAATATTATTGCAATGCATATCGGAAGCGGTGCTTCTATCTGTGCCATCAAGGATGGTAAATCGGTTGATACCACGTGAGGTTCCCAGCCTTTGTCAATGGCCATCTATACTGACATGTTCACACGTAGGATGGGACTCACACCGCTAGCCGGACTACCAGGCGCCACACGGAGCGGAGACATTGATCCATCGTGAGTGCCAATATGCCCTGCTCAGGAAACTGCATACTGACAGTAGTCCAGCCTTGTGTTCCACTACACCAACGATGCAGGCAAACTCAGTCCTGCTAGCACTAAAGAAATGCACATCAGCACGGTACGTATGCACTTGATGGCAATAGCTACATTCCGCTAACGCATGACCAGGCCGAAGAAATTCTCAACAAAAAGTCCGGCTGGAAAGCCTTGACCGGCACAACCGACTTTGCCCAAATCGCCGTCGAGAACCCACCGACACGGGAACACAAACTGGCATTCGACATCCTCGTTGACCGCATCGCGGGTTACCTCGGCAATTACTTTGTGAAGCTAGACGGCCGTGTCGATGCCTTTGTCTTCGCAGGCGGAATTGGTGAGAAGAGCGCGCTGCTTCGAAAAGCAGTTACGGAGAAGTGTCGCTGCCTGGGATGTGCGGTTGATCCGGGGAAGAATGACAAGGGTGCAGGGGATGGGGAGACGGTAGTGGATATTTCTCGGGGTGATGACAAGGGCCCTAAGGTCTTGATCTGTCAGACAGATGAACAGGTGAGGCATACCTTATTCCTACCCCTATGATGATACTCGATTGTGCATGTGAATGTGGTTACTAATGATGGATATATAGTTCGAGATGGCATACGGATGCGTCAAGCAGTATGAGAAGTCGTAGACAGATGGCCTGCCGTCACTTTAGCAAGAGAGGCATGTATCTACTTACGAAGTAATGAATCGAACTAGGAAACTCGTCATAAGACCTCATACCCAATGTAGGCATCCCTTTGCTCAGGCATGGAGTTTCCTGTATGGGAATTAAAGTTCAGAGTTCAAATGTCACCTTCCACTTTACGACGCCTAAGTCTAGCCTAATCACTCTCTTATAAGTAATACAAAGCATGAGAGTGTAATACTAGTTTCCTAAACAGTAGAAAAAAGAAGTTATGAATGGATGGTGACCACCTCACCCAACAACCGAGTTGAAAGAATGAAGAGCATCTCCCAACAAACCAAACCATCACATAACATTCCAATCACGTTAGTCACCGAGGAACCCGAGACTCAGCCAGCCAGCCAGCCAACATTATCCGTTGAGAGAGAGAGAGTGAGTTGTAGTCATTGACAACTGCCAGAACAAAGAACTGGTATTTACTGATTAGTTAGGACTATACTAGGTATATACCCTGTATCCCTGCATTAACTTAACATCGGTAAGTATAAACCCCGCTTACTCCGTACTCAGGATATACCAAGTACTTACTATGAAGACTCAATTTGATTGGCACACGTAGTATCTCTACAAGATAGTAGAGGCTTTTGACATCTACCTCCCCAAGAACCTCCATCAAGTTCCATGACGCTCCAAGTAGACACCACCACACCTATTTCTTAGTATGACTACTTGTTTGGACACTTGACAGATCAATCATCATCTCTCATCCTTCCCTGTCTATCTTTATTCCAACCCTAAACACAGTATCATAGAATACGAAGCATGTCTTACCCCCCACCCCAGCCCAGCACTATAGCGTAGCGTATCCAAAGAGTGAAACCATAATCACATCCCATCACATCACATCAACCACTACCACTACCACCACTCCCCCTCCGTCTCGGACCCGACAGTCTGGACACTTCCATCAGGGATCAAAGGGGGCCGGGGGCCGGGTGGCGTGTAATCCTCTCCGCGGGATTTGAAATGGTGAGAATTGTCGCAGGGAGAAGTTTAATCTGAACACACTTTAGTAGTATCTGACTTTATTAGTAGATAGGAATGTGTAGAATGTACTACTTTGTAGATAAAAGTGGCAAATCATGGTGATGAAGGGGGTGTGTGATTGGGTGGTTAGTTGTTCTTTTTTCTTTTACTCCATGAGAGGGGTTAGTGTTGGATGGGAACGATAGTCATACTAATACAGATTGGTGGTGTTGAGTTGGTAGATGATGGCTTGATGTGATGATGACCCCGTGGGTGTCACTCACTCATCCACTCACTCACTCTGTCAGAGTTTAATAGGGAATCCAGTTAGAGTCGTCGCTTTGTTCCTTCCCCCCATCACCTGATCAACAGAAAGAAAAGCAAAAGAAAGAAAGAAAAAAAGAAGCAAGAAAAAGCAAAAAGAAATTAGTTTGACCCGCGGAGTTGGTCACTCATCTCCGTCTGACAGGATAAACTAATAGTCAAGCCGTACTTTTGATAAAGAACAAAAGAAAAGATAGATAGATAGATAGATGCACGATTATCGGGGTCACTCACTCACTCACTGCTCATGCAGCTAGAGGGTTAGCTGGGACAACAACACTTGGTCTAGACGGGGCGGGGGGCCATCCATGTATAGTAACACTAAGTAATAATAATAATAATAATAATACTACTGATTTAATAATAATAATCATAAGAATAATGCTCCGGTTCTATTATGTAGTCTAGACTATCTACTACAATATGAAGTGAAGTCAGTACTTTGACGGCAGACATGGATGTTCAATCTCTTCTAGTGGAGCATCTTTATGGCAGCTAAAAATGGATGTGTATACTAGCTGCCATATGCCGTGTGAAGGAAATGGGCTCCACTGACAAGGGATCCAGCATCTACCTAAAGAGGTAGGTACTACTACTACTATTTCTCCATACACATCGCATAGCAACCATTCTAGAACTTTCTCAGTTAAGATCAATTGCTTTCATGGGCGAAAGAAGAGAAGTGGAGGCGGGGGACCGCCTCATCTCGGCGGAGATGTATGATCGCTCACTTGCGCCATCATCTCCGGGAAGATAGGTAGGCAAAATAACTCAGCTACTGTAAGAATGATCTGATCTATCTATTCATTCACTACTTAACTATCTAGCTTTCTTCAGTAAAGGAAGAAAAAAATAATAATTATAGTAATAAAAAAAAAATGCTAGCTAGCTGGGTCCGCCACGGAGGCGACCTGAAGATCATCACTCCGAATCGGGAAGTCTGTCAGATGGATGCATGGACCGGGCCCCCTTCAATCCCCTTCCCTTCCCTTTGGGACGGATGGAGGGTCGCTCAGCATCCAGACTAACGATGAGGCTGACGGACGGGGCAAGGCGATCATCACGCATCAATCTGGTGGTTTTGCTGGGTGGCTGAAGAAATAAAAGAAAATATGTGTTGAGGTGTGATACGGGGGGGAAGAGAGACGGGGGGGAGGGATGCACCATGACCTAAAAAGGGGAATTGAAATATGGTCCGGAACGGGGAAGCGAAATGAGGTTCCAGAGTGGCGGGTGGATGCGTTAGTTGGATTGACATGGAACTTGATACATCCACCGTGGACCTCTTTCTTTCCCTTCCCTTCCCTTTTCTTTCTCTCCCGTGACTTACTGTAGCTGGAGCTGTGTAACTATCATGTATCTATCCCGTTCGTCCGTCCGCGCGTGCCTTCCCATCCTCTATCTCTCTCTCTCTCTCTCTCTCTCTCGCTCTATCTATCAATCTAGAAGATCACCCTCAGCAGAGGAAAAAGAAAAGAAAAAGAGTAACCGAAAGATAGCAAGCACAAGAGAGAAGGGGGGGAAAAAAAGAAAAAGAAAACATTGACAGGGCGACACGGGACATCCTTATCAGGTGAATCATCAACAAAATAAATCCATCTATCGAAAAAAAAGTCGCCATCATCCGTCCGCACTGTTATTGGGAAGAAAAGAAAAAAAAAATTAAATAAATAAACACACACCTCCCCTTTCCTTGTATTCTTTCATTCAGTTCAGCCCCGTTCGTAATAATGAGCCGAGAGCCCAAAAGGATTTGCAGACGATCCGATCAAGTTTCCCCTTCTAGAACGCCATCCCGTGGACGAGAGTGGACACTAAAGGAAAGCCGGCTGCGATTCCGCGCGCCTCTAGTGCTGTAGTTCTGTAGGGTTATCGAGTTTCTCTTTGGTCTGTTACCACTCAGGTGGATCAGGGGGAGCGCGAGTGTGTGTGAGAGAGAGAAAGAGGAAAAAGAGAAAGAAGAAGGGTGAATATCGTTACCTGGTTAGGGATAACGGGTTGGACGTGTTGTTTTGTTGTTGTGTACACAGTAAGAAGACTGCAAATTACCTACTTTGTACGGAGTACTCTCTGTATCTCTCGCTGGATCAGTCATGGCGCATGGATTCTAGTTGCATTATTGAATTTGAGTTATGGAAGCAAAAACACTAAAATGATTGACTGAATGACAGACAGACAGACAGATAGCTCAACTCTCAGCTCAGCTCAGCCCAGGAACTTTGCCTAGAGCCTTGGCAGGTACCAACCGACTAGTAAGATTTTCCGGCCTTAAAGTTCAGGTTTTCACGCCACTGTCAAGGCACGTGTTCCACCTGGATGGATAGTAGTAGCTGTAGGACTGAAGAATTGCCGCCTTGATTGAGAGCTTAGCTAACAGTATATGCTAGATGATGATGAACAAGGGAATAATTTACCTTTCAGCGAGGAAATACTTGTACCCATAATGGCATTTGATCATTGACTTCGGCTTTTCGGGGATTTCTTCATTCACTCCGTCCCTTCCACTCAACGCACATAAATATTTAGGAGTACTGGGGAGAGACAGGTTAAGCTGGTGCTTACTATCCGTCTATGTAAAACAAGACAATGTCTTCACACTTCCACATCTGCACAGGAAGTTAGAAAAGGGCAAATTGCCAAAAGTACATTGCCTCTTTGATCAACAAGAGGCAAAAAAACGCTTTGGCATTAACCATAATCAATCTAGTAAATGCAGTTCCCCCTGCGTCGGTCGCATAACCCTCGCCCATTCCCCGTCCCATAGTTTTCTGCAAGGTACTATGCAATGGCGAACAGACCTCCTCTTCAGAAGCACATCATCCTCATCCTTTTTCCCTCTTGGCTATAGTTTAAGTAGTACAGTAAGGGTAAGTTAAGTATGGGTTGGTTTTCGTGTTTCACGGCAGATCGGTCGATCCCCTCTCTGGCTACTGGCTACTGTATTCTTCATCTGGGATGTAGCTCTGCAGTATGTATGTATCTAGCCACATGCAGTACATACGTCCATTTATCTCTTTCTGTGGCTGGAATAAAAACGATCTGCTGCAGAAAAATCCCGATACCCGACATACTATTCAGCGATGCCATGGAAAGTAGAACAGGGTCTCGATCATTCTGGTATGTTCCCCTTTCCACGGGGATTAAAATAAAATCGGACGTTGAGGTGTTGCTGTATTCGCTAGAATTAGATTTGTTTTTTCCTGCATGGCTAATGCATCTTGCCGATGCGGGCTGAATCATGTCCAGTCATATTTTTGCAGGGAAAACTAAACCATGCTTAACCCTTGAACCTTGAACCTGGTTGTGGGAACGAATGAACCAACGAATGAGCCATGCGGAAGAGGAGTAAAGTAAAGTGCTTGCTCACTTCGTGGGTAAGGTAGTTAGTAGTGGTACTTCTGGCTCCGTGTTCGGACTACTTCGGCCCATCCATTGATCAATCAATCAATCAATCAATCAATCAATCTGCATCCGACCACCACCGTCGGAAAATCCTAGACATGTTTCGAACGAACACCAAGATGAACGTTCACGCATGACAGGTCAGGTTTTCTCATCGCTGTTTCCTTGTGCGGGAATTATTAGTGGCTTGCAAGGGAAAAAAGCTCGAAATGATGGATCATGAAACTAATCATAATCATGTGGTTTGATCCCTGTTTACCACTTACCACTTACCAAAATTGTAAGCAAGCAAGCAAGTAGCAGCTCGCGACGGACCCTCAATGGGTTGACTGATGGATGTATCCATTATCTATCCAATTCAATATATCCCCAACCGCCCTATTGAAGACCAGTCAGTCAGTAGTCGGACAAATAGATAGCCAGATAGCATGAATAATCAGCCCAACTATCTATCGACAGTCAGTAAATAGTTAACCATATCGGATCGGAAGGATCCTATCCATCCATTCCATGCCGTTTCTCGCAATCCTCTTCAATCCTTCCAACGATCTAGCCTTCCAAGACCGACCGACCCAATTAGAAAAAAAAAAAGCCATAATATCCACAAGTTAAAACACACTCTAGCGTCTGCGGAACCCGGAAAGAAAAAAACTCAACCTATGGAGTACTTACCTTTGGCTTTCCTTCTCGTCCATTTCCAAAAAGGCAATACCGCCCAACGGTTCCCTTTCCACCCTTCTCGCTAGACCAAAGTACTCATTAGTCCCGTTCCTCCGGTTTCTAGCGCCGTTCTAGCCTCCCCGTAAACCAATTACGGAGGACAAATCCACTCTCTCGATGGAGTCGTGGTGGTTCGCCTATCGAGTAATTTCCTCTTTTGGGGACATGTTCGGGCCGTTGAGACGGGGATCATAATAGCTATTTCTGCCTTACAGTAGCTCTTTTTGCAATTTGTGGGTTTTAGTTCGTATCTCCGATGTCTATTTTTCTTTTTGGCAGCCAGCGGGTTCAAGAGGCGTAAAGTCCCGGGGACCATGACGGATGGTACGATCCGCGAGCGAACCATGGTTGGATGGGGAAGGGAAGAACCATCCGGATGGGCCTTCTAGAATCGTTCTGGAAGAGGTGGTTGAGTTGACTTTGACCCATCCGGGCGCAAGTGGGTGGAACACTTGCTTGCGTTTGCTTTTTGTTGATGTTTCTGTTTCTGTAGCTATTGCTGGATACTGGGCGTGAGAGGGTGTGTCGGCTGTTGGGCCTGGATTTCTGGGGTCAATTGACGAGTGCTATTATTATTGCTGGGTGGTTATTATTGTGTGGGTGTGTATGTTCGGCTGTTTGGTCCAGGATCATGATGATAAAACAAAAAAACCAAGCTAAGGTGTCACATGTAGCCGAGGACGGCTTGTCGCAAAAAAAATGAAGGATTAAAGATACAAGTCATGCCATTCCATTGGATGGGATGGTCTCATGTCTCAGAATCTGATGCTATCAGCAACTCTACTTCTTCCTGCTGACACTGTCATAACGTCCTATTCGACCACAAAGAAAAGGCCAACTATGTCCCTTTCAATTGATTCACGTCATTGGCTAGTCAGAGAAGAGACGGGAAAAGTACGAACCAGTTGTGAGATAAGGTGTAATCAGACATCCCCAAACAAAGATAAAGCGCCTACGGTGTGACTGTGACGGCTAGTTCCAATCCATCGGTTGGATTGAAACACGCGTACGCGCCAGCCTAGCAGGGAGTCCCATGTTGCGAATCCCGGTACATGCGTCGCTTGGCACTTTGAGGCATTGTTTCTCCGCGCAGATCGACGGCGACGTCAAGACGGTCTACAACGGAGATACTATCAGAGGATCAGAAGCTACCCAAGTGAGCAAGAGGTTGGGCAAACGTGGGCGGCTTTGAGCAGCTCGAGTCAGTCTAGAATTCCACTCGTCTAGACGTTACTACTTTGCTTTGCCCCATTGTGGCGAAGGTCAGGAATAGAAGTGGTAAGAATGATGTAGTGGGATGGGCTGGTGGAGTCGAATAATTTAGCCCATACTGGGTAACGACGGTCAAGCGACAGAGGTAATTTGTAATTCCAGCCACAATTTACAGAACGACAGACGAGTGAGAGAGCTTGCTTACCTGAGTATTAACTAAACTAGCTTCCTCCATGCAGTCGGAGATGTCAACCCCCAGAAATCCGCACAGGGCTGCGAATCCCCCAATTTGTCGGGGGGGGGGGAAGAACATCCAGATTGTTCTTTCGGGAAGTTTTAGAGGGCTCCTGGACCCAGCGTGAATTGAGCCTATCGTTTTACTAGAGTCTGGTAGTCTGCGATCGTAGGACCGAAAAGCTGCAAAATTGGCGCGCTGGTTCTGGTTGCTCGCAGCTCCATCCGCGGTCGCGGGGGCGAACAGGCAGGGCGAGGGCGCTAGAAGGACTAGAAGCGCGCGAGAAGAATGCGAGTTGCACAATAATACGTAACGGAGGCGGGTAACAGTGGATTTGCCGGATCATGGATCGTTATTAGGGGGCCCCACTGCCCCTTTCAGCCAGCCGATTTCCCTGGTGACCAAAGGGAAGGAAGACGCGAGTGTGCCAAAAGATCAGAGGGCGGAAAAGAAGTCCAGCGGGAAATGAAGGATAAGGAAATAGAAAAAGTAAAGACAGACAATGTCTTGAGGTCAGCTCGGATTCACTTAGTAGATAGTTGACCTGTGTAGGTAGGTTGATTGCTCACTCGAGGGCCAGAGGTGACAGAAACCGGTGCTAATCTCTCTGTGGCTGACATGAATCAAACCAGGAGAAATGGTGGGCCAGGCTAGGGAGGTCC